CGGGAAGCGGCAGAGGCTCGCCCCTCGACCTCAGACACGCTCAGTTAGGACAGAGCCTCTCTCGGCAGACATCCACGCGCAAACAGCCTGCACAGACACGCAAGGCAAACGCACAGGTGTCCCACTCACGCAGGTCGAGCTTTCAGTCCGCGCGACGCTGCTCCGCGCACAACCACGAGCCGTACGCGGCCCACGCGGAGCACGCGGGCTGCACCGTCTACTGCTACTTCTGCTACTGCTGCTACTGTTGCTGCCTCGCGCTCCTCTCCTTCTCTCTCTTCCTCCTCCTGTCTCCGCTTCATAACACCGTGTCCTTCCCCACACTTTCCTCAAATACGGCTTCACCTCCTTCCTCCCCCTCCCTCTCCCTTCCACGATCATCCTCTCCCCGTTTGGATGACCTTTCCTGTGCCTCTCCTGGCATCAACCTGACGTCTCCACTGAAGTGTCCACCGCCACCTTGCGTTGGTTCCGCCCAGGTCTTCTCATCTCGGGTGCTCACCAAATCTGATCCTCTCACCTCCTCCTTTCATTGCTCTTCCACCTCCTCCCCGCCTCCCCCTCGTCCCATCCTGTGCCGCCCATGGCCTTCGTCACAATCTCTTATCTCCCTGCTCCTCTGCCCTCCCAGCTTCGGGGATCAGGTCTTGTCCTACGCCTCCACCTTGGATCACATTCCCTCTGGTCCGGCTCGACCCAGGACTCTGTTACGACAGCAGAGTCTCCAGCAGCCTCTCATCCACCCGCCTGGCCCCGGCCTTGGTCAGCCGCCCACCACATCCCAGAGCTTGGGACAATTACACACAGCACCTGGACAACCAGGGGCAGGTGGGGGAGGAGGCACGAGCGGTGACGGTGGTGGTGCAGGTACCGGAGGTGGCCCCCGGGGGGCGCGGGCCGGTCCGGCCGGCGCAGGAGCCTCTCGTTACAGAGGCGGTGGGTCAGGAAGTCGCTCGCGGGCCAATCCTGGAAGCTGGGATTACATGATGGACCAGATGCGGAACCGTGGCCTGGACGTCAAGTCCTTCATGTGAGTCTTTACAAGAGTTATTCATGTTTCTGTAGAGCCAGTTTAACCTTCGTATTTGTGGTTTTATATCAGACCATATTTGTCAGTAACGTTGTGATGTTGATTCTGAACTGATTTCTCCCTCTGTTAAATACTTAGTATTTCTTGTTCTTTGAAGAGTTTTTCTCGTCCTTTTTTTCCTTATATCCAGGGAAGGATATTTCTTTTATGTGTGCTGTAGATGTGTGTTTTTACAACAACCTTGAACAAATACAGTCCACTCAATCTACATCGTACGTTTCTCACATGAAATGAGAAATATATTGTAAATGCGTATTTAGTGTAGACTTCAAAAAATGTAAATGAGTTGTTGTCCTAAGCTTCAAGCTACTATAATCAAGGAGACGGATCAGTGTCTGATTTGATTTAGTGGTCGTGGATCACACAGTCATATTAACAGTTAAGACTGTGTTAATTAAAGTGCTTATATATTACCTTTGGATATGTGATATGCTTTATGATCCTCTCCATACTCAAGTGAAAGTGTATAATGAGTAAATGCATCATGGGCAATAATAGCCTTCAACAGTAGACGCCAAGTGTCTTAATGAGCAATCTGTCACGAAAGGCCTTTTTTTTTTTCCGCTTATTTTAGCACGAATGGCAATACGTGCGTGAAAAACACGGAAGGAAGTTGGGACACACTGTGGGCTATTTCTGTCCCAGACTGTGATAAAATGTTCAATGTTCACGCTGCGTGCACGGCTAACCAGCAACATCTGTTTGGATGGCATTTAGCCGATCTGTTAGCGGGCGCTGTCTTTGCAGGGTGGAGGTGGTGCTGCTGGTTTATAGTGTTTGTACAGCAGTGTCAAGAAGAGGCAACTGTTTTGAAATTCCTTTCCCTTTTACACATCCGTTCCCTTTTTTTTTATCTTATATTATTATTTTATTTACACATCCGTTCCCTTTTTTTTTTTCTTATATTTTTTGCAGATAATCCACACTTACAAAACTGAAGTGTTTCTCAAAACACCCACTGGAGCTTGAAGCTGAATGGATGGGTCATATAGATCATATTGAGATTTCTAATTTCTTTAATTTCTTAATTTACCATTTTAAAATTCGATGATCTTTTGCCAGATTATCTTTAAATAAAGAAAGTCAATGGCTATGACTGGACTTTCTCTGAATGAAGTAAATTAGTAAGTACACATTTCATTGTGTCCAATGACCTATGGACTGGTACTGATCCGCGGACCGCGGGTTGGGCACCCCTGATCTGTACAGTCTTAAGTCTTCAGTCTTAAGGGGAACTATATTGGTGATATAGGGGCCCTTTAAGGGGAACTGTATTGGTGATATAGGAGTGTGGTTCCATTGGGACTTGAACCCAGAACCTTCTGCATGTAAGGCAAACTGATGATGATCACTACACTCTAGAACAACTCCAGTGTTTGAATTGACTTGTGAAAATGTCTGCACAGATAATGAGGCCCATGGAAATATTCTGATGAAGCCGCACTTCGCATCACATCCACGCGCAGGGTTAGTCGGTGTTTACCATAACATGACACCTCATTTCCAGTATCACTGTTACTTTCACGGTGATAGTAGATCTGCTGACGTGTGTCAGGGTGTGTACATCAGCCAGGCCACGTGTCACTGTGCACCAGTATATGAACAGGGGTTAAGCAGCTCTGCGTAGATTGGAGTTCACCCTGGAGCATTGATCTTATGTCACCAGCACCATTACCTCGACAACATATTGTTGCCGCGAGCGGTGGCGGTGGCGGTGGGAGGGGCCCGATGAGGCGGAGAGGGAGACGGTGATGGGATAAAGAAGGACACTGCCAATGTGTTTAATGCGCCTTTGCACCAAATCCATTCCACAGTAGCTCCTTGTGTGCATCAAAGACAGAATATCAGCCGCTCCACAGTAGCTCCTTGTGTGCATCAAAAGCTCCACGAATGCCACGAATGCTAGCCACCATTAAAAAAAAAATGTAGCTTCAAGGTCGGGCAGAATATCAGCCGTAATCTTTAACTATATAGAAGCCATCACTGTAAATTGAGGTCAGTGGTTTATTACTTGATCTGTGTAATTAATGGCAACGTGGCAAAGTAAAAGACATTTTGGCCACAGCACTTACACGGTGTGTTCACGGCTAAGTAAACGCTTCTATGTCATTGACAGGAACGCCAGTCGATGGAGCTCCTGGGAGATTAGTTTTCCCGCTTTTTTTGGGCTTAAAAATCAATCATTCGTCCTGGTTTCATGAATGTCTGCCCCCCTTCTTTACCTGTGTTGCCTTAATATGTGTCAGATGGATTGGAGTGTTTCACCAATATCTCTGAGTGCAAACGCTCGTTTTCTGCAGCTGATGGCAGAGGAAGGAGCCAATAGTTCTCCCACTGTCAATACCAGCACAGGACCACATCATGCTAATTCTTTCCCAGAAGGCACTTGTGTGTGTCCAGAAAGACTGAGTGACCTAATTCATCTCCTCTAGAAACCCTACGATCCAAACCTAAAGCTCTGCTGTGTGCGGTTGACACCTGTAATAATGGGCTCCACGTGGCGGATATGAAATACAGAAGTATCTCGTAATTAACGCACACTTAACTCGTCGTTTTCAATACCGAGAATGACTCCTTTCATTCACTCAGGTTATTTCCGCGAGGGCGGCCATGTTGGGTCACTATCTTGTTACATGTGCCCATAGTGAAAAATAGTGTTTTTCATGGAAGAAACTGTTAAATCGTGATGCAGTGTGCTTTTATAGAAATAAAAATATAATATATATTTTATATAATATTTAAATGTATGAACCACATGGTAGTGTGTGTAATCCTGAGTAGGGAGAAGCCACAGTGCGTCCTGGGCCAGATCATGGCAATCCTCAACACTTTCAAAAGAGAGAAATCACAACCCAGTCGAAAGGTCAAGCTTCACACCTGTGGATGTTGGTGATGAGAATGAAGGAAAAAAGAAACAGAACACAGGTAATTAAGAGCAGGAGATAAGGATTAGAAGGAGGAGAGGGGGGGGATTTGGAAAAGCCTCGGCAGCGGAACGAGGAGATGAAACAAGACGAGTGCCACGTGGACAGCGAGAGAGCGCTGACCCAGAAACTGGTGACATCACTCGGTGAACCTCAAGATACTGTGTCGCTCAAATAGAAACAATTAGTCCAGATCTTAATGAGGCCTAATGGAATCTCAGCTCTAGAGAAGGGCGAGAGCCACCATGTTCAGGGGAGGCAGGTTAGCAGTAGATAAACGACTGTGTGTGTGTGGGCGTTGATGCGCCTACACTGAACCGTTACATGTGTGGAAGCAGATGTTCGAGCTGCTCATCATCGACCTTTTCCCTGATTATTTGTTTTGTTGATGAAGATTAAACCGTTATATATATAGTTGTTTTTTTTGTTTTTTTAAATTTGATTCTTTGGGTTTAATATCCTTCCCTGGTGATGCATTTCTTGACCGATTTTGTGAGTGTTTCCCCTGTTACTGCTTCAACGGTCTTATATTGTTCTGCCTCTCTGCTTTGTGTCCTTGTTTTCACCTGAAGTTACCTGTCTTCTCTCCTCCTGCACCACGTCCTCTCTATGTGTGGTTCCTCTGTCCTCTGGCCTCTCCTCTGGCCTCTCCTTCTCTCCGTCTTTATCTCTGATTGCATGTCTTTTCATGGGGAGCCAGTGAAGGCAAGATGGTGGTCCTGGCTTTGGCCATAGGTGTGGCCGAGCAAGATGACTTTGCCAATATCCCTGACCTGCAGGAGGCAGCACAGGCAGCACCGCCGCCGGCCAATCAGGAGCCCCCTCCTGAGAAGAGGTACCAGATAACTTGTGAGGGTGCTTGTGTGCGCGAGTGTGTTTGAGAGCGAATGGGATGCGGTTGATAGGTTGTGATAGAAGAGAACAACAAGAGATCGTTTTCAGAGTCCAGGTTGAGAACGGAAGCGTAGTGGTGTTTTTGTTGAGTCACGGCACTCATGTGCATTATGCTGCAGACTGCACTTGAAATAGCATCAAAGCTGCGTACACTCAGGGAATCAAAACAAGAGCTGACCATGAAACCAAATAAAGAAACAAACGAACGGAAAAAAAACCCCCCAAAAAAACTGGAGTCTGCAGAGGAATGATGAGTGACTCTGGGGATTGGCTGTAAAGCAGTTGACAGCAGCGAGAGGCTCCATGACGGCCTTTCCTCTGCTTCTCATGAAAAACTGTGTGTTGTCATCCCGGCATCTGTTCATCCTGATCAAGATAAATCATCTCCCCGTCACATCCACATTCTGCTGCTCTTCTTCCATTTTGGATTTGTTTTGTGTTCACTATCCTGTTGGTAATGATCATATTTCCTTTGTATTCTGGAGCTCTGATTATCCCACCTCCCTCCTCCTCCACTGCTCTCCTCTTTTTTTTTCTTCCGCTCATTAGCTTCCTTCAATCACCCTCTGCTGCTACGAGTCCCGTCTCTGTAGCTCCACTCAGGGCCCCAGAAAGCCCCCCTCATTATTCCACAACATGTTAGTCACTTACACAACCGTGCTGCTATAAATAGACCTGTTCCTGGCCAACAACTCTACACACTGTCCGCTCCCAAAATAATGAGTTTGGCAAACTGTCTCGATATTTAAAAAAAAAAAAGTCGATGACCAACGGACGTGTGAGGTTCTCGGTGTCACCATGAGGCAAACTTAAGGTGAACGCAGTGAGACTTGATTTCCTCTGCAGTCCAATTAGGCCGATTCAGCCCCCGATGGATGCTGTGACTAATTGGAGACAAATTCCAGATCCCTAATATGACACACCTTAACACTTAATGGAACAGATTTCCATTTATTTGTCTCACAGGTTAGTTCGGATTGACAAGTGTGCCATCGATTTGACACGCGTTTTAAAGCTGAGCTGATAACAGATTAAGTTTGCCGTGTTTATCAGAGAAGGTTCTGGAATCTTTAGAATATCAGGTCTCTGCAGGGATACTGTCTCACAGAGGGTTAAGAAATAAATGTTTTTTTTTAACATCTTTTTGAAAAACCCATGTTGCGATCACTGAAATTTCAGAACGTTAAGCTTCAGTATTTTCCAGGAGCAATCCCGTTATTGACACAAGCGTCTTTAGAAACAATGGATGTAATTAGGTCAGAACCATTAGGGGGAACCATTCACCGCGATAATCAGTAAATATGTGATATGTCATTCATTTATTATGTCCGCCCCGGTCCTTAATGACAGGAAGTTGGGGACGTCTGCCTTGGACTGTTTCAAACAACACCTTGTCTGCGTTTAGCCTTTATTTCGAGCCCAGGTCTCAGCTTCTGTTCTTGGAAAAAGGAGGCAACAGATCAGGATCAAGTGTTTGTGGCCTCCAAACAGCTGCTTTAAGATCCTCATAGAACTACACGGACTACGGAGCCACAGTACTCTGTTCACATTACAGTTTTTGTTTTTCTGAAAACCTCCTCCCACTGCTGAAAACCACTAATGGAAAACATCAACAGTGGAACACGGCGGCTGCCTCAGCCCTCAGTACGAGGGACTTGACTAAGCTAATGATGATTGAGTGTATTTTGACGTTTCCTCGAACAGAACTGCGGCTTTTTAATTTGCTTTAGTCCAAACAAAATGACTGGCAGTTTGCAGACTTTGAATAATGTAGCACCGGGGGAACAAACGAAGGAAGAAGTGAACGCGTCAGATTCACTGACTCTCAGCCCTCTCCTGGGCTCTACGCTAATTCCACTCTAGCCGTGCATTGTGTTGTTTGTTTCATGATAATTCCCAATAAGGAGGATAATTACTGATTTAGGCACGCCTTAATTGAACACTAAATTTGAAGGCTCGAGTAAACATTACGCGTCCTCCGTGTGTTGGAAATGCAGGGTTTAAAGCTCGCTGGGAGTGTGCGATTCCCTGCGGTGTTAGTGCTGACTTCACAGATGTCCGTCCGTGATTTAATCAATCACGCTCTCGGCGTATTGCTCATACTGAGTGGGGCTCTCGAGCGTCGAGCCGGAGACAAAGCCATTCTCTAATTTTGCCTCTCACTCTCCACACATCCCTCCATGTAGTCGTATCATCACAGTGTGTCCGTGAACGTCAGCCACGTCCTTCATATTCCTGTCACTCATCAGCCACGTTGCATCTCTCTCTTGTAAGACGTGTAAAAACTAAACCGACTGAAAAACAGGTCACTGGTGAATTGTTTCAGCCAAACCCGAAGTCTCCGAAGTGATTTTGACACTTAGACGTAAACGTCTTCTTTCTCACCTCGGAGTGAAACCCCCTGACGGGTGATGAAAGAAAAGAGCTGCTTTAAACCCAAACGACACCCAGTGGTGTCCTAGAGAAGAGAGAAACGGCCGGTGTTGGAACAAAACAAAGTACCCGCACGTGAAAATACTGCAGTTATTTTTATACATTTGCTGATTTAGGATGATGGGTCTACTATGACATAGAGGGTCCTTGCTGGACGCCCCAGGTACAAATTGACCGAGGCCCTACCTCGTAAAGGCCTAGCAGGGAGTTTTGTTCCGGCGAGGACATCCAGCGTAAAAATGTAGCAGATCACGAGGCGGACGAGCGTTGCGGTGACACCTCGGTGATAGGAGAAAAAAGGCTACGGTGTTTCTGTTGACTCAGGTTTCAATGTATATTAGTTTGCATGACTTTTAAAGAGGAAATCCTTCCCATTGGACCAGTCTCTCTCGTCACTGCTGCCAGGACTTGGAAAAGTTACGCGGACCTTTGGTTCCTACAAAGACGAAACAGTTTTATTTGCCGTTGTTATCTCTGACACAGCCATGTCGTTGCGAAGCCCCACGATGGGCGCAGACTCTAAAGCTGTGGCTGTGGCCTCCAAAAGAGCTCGACACGAAAGACAATTCCTATTTTAGAATTATTTAGAATTTTTTTTTTTTTAAATATGAAAATACAGCACTACAGATAACAACAGCAGCTTTTATCTGTCCCCTCTGACTGACGCTACACTGTGAGTTGGCCGTAGTTGATGTCAAGCCAAACACAGTTTAATCCCCACCGGCCCTGTGTAGGTGTTATGATGTTATGATGTTATGATGTTATAATATTCATTACAGTCTCTCAGTGATGTCGTGAGGGTGTTAATGATGGCTGCATGAGTGCGTGTCTCATGATGATCGAGGGTTTGAAGTGCTGGCTGTTTGACGGCCACGACGGAGACTTTCAAACCAAAGACTGCGGCGCATGCGGGATCGCAGCAGAGAGAGGGAAGGGAAACACACACACAGAACGGGCCGACGTCTAATCTGGGTTACAAATGTTTACATCCCAGACGGTGATAGCTTGTACAGGCTGGAAAGCCTAATTAGGACGTTACGCTGGCTCGTTAATGCCTCGTTGGTCTCCGATCCGTGAGTCACTGAGTCTGTATCGTAGGTTCTCCTCCGGTGTTGCTATAACGGGAGGCTGCAGTTCCACAGAGCTTTGAATCCAGATCAGTAAGCTGACAGTCCAATGGAGACGCTGTGTCGTTTCATCACGATGTGTAGGTCGGGGAGTGTTTTTTATAAAACGCAACTCGGAGTTATTAATAGATATTGATGCTTTGATTTTTTTTTCTGCCACTCAGATGTGATGCGTTCACCGTTTCACTAAACAGGAATGGCTCTGGAAAATTCCGTTTCAAATCAATTCAAATTAGTGTTTTAAATAGGGCTGTCCATAATTAGCCCATTAACTGCAATGAATCATTGGAGAAATTATAACAGATTCAATCCGTATATTATTTGATAATTCCACCGTCCATCCGGTCGTTGTTGCCTGTGTCTGTGGCGCAGAGCCGTTACAGGTCGTAATTTACACCCGCCGTGGGAAATAGTTTTCTTTTCACCAAAGCATCTCAAGACTTAAATACCATCTGATTTTCCGACCTTCTGCATGTTACACGTAATTTTCTTTATATATATAATATCATTTAAAGTCACACATTAAATCACTTCTGAAACACATACATCTACCTGCTGTGAGTTAGATTTTGTTTCTGCAAACATACTGATTTTTCTTGGAGGATTTGTCTCAATTAATCTTGATTAAGTAATCAAAATCAAATCAAAAAGGTAAACGTTTTAAACGTGTCAAACTCAAGGCCCGGGGGCCAAATGCTGCCCGCCAAGCCACTGCGGGCCGGTACCAAATGACCTATGGACCAGTACTGGTCCACGAACCAGGGGTTGGGGACTCCTGATCTATACAGAGGTAGAACGCTAGTCAGAGTAGAAAGAGTTTTTTTTTTGTTTTTTGTATTGTTTAAGATCAACGTCGCGTCAGTCACAGATGTGGATTTTCAATAAATGTAAATGCGTTGTTTTAACCATATTTTCTTGGGGGGGGGGGGGGGGAAAACAACATCCCCCCCAACATTATGATCTGTGGGAAAAAAAAAATG